TATTATCAATTATTATTATATACGTATATATTTTACTTTTGCATTCACTTTTTGTGCGTCTAAAACGCAGACCCACGTAAGATACAATGTAGTTTTATCGTATCTCTTATCGATGCATTCAAGAGGTGAAAATGGTTTCTTAAAAAATATTTCAAGATAATTACTACATTGAGTTTCTTCCAGTATATCTTAATTATTATCTTAGAAAAATATATATTGGTAAGAACTTAATATTTATTTTTGTTGTAAATGCTAAAATAATAAGAACTAAGTAATAATTATATTATAAATACAATTTTTAAAAAATTAAAATGCGACAATTACAATGGCTACATTTTTTAAAGGTAATTCTAAGGTGTACATATTTTAGTTATGAGTAACCTATGGAGTTTCTTGTTCGTTCTTCTCCATAGGATTCTACAAAATAGCTTCACTAGAGGACTGACCTACAGACTGACAATTTTTCTTTAATATTTAAATATTATGTTTTGACGATCAAAAATGCCTTCTTGGTCTAATTGAAATAATTTTGACTTTGACTTTGAGTTATTTGTATTTATAATATTAATATTACTTAGTTCTTATATTGGATATTTTAGCTTGGGTAAACTTGGTAATTTCTATTATCGATTTACAACCTTTACGTATGGTAATTAAGCTGAAAATACATTGTAGAGACACAAGTTGAAGAAATTGATATTTTGACAAAATTAAATTCAGTGCTTCTTCAAAATAAGTAACTTAATATTTATGAATTTTGTATGAGATTATTGAACTGTGATGTCGCAGACTATTTGAGTCGACCTAACCTACTTATTTCTTTCTAGATATAAAAATACGAATACTTAAAATTAAATCGATTGATGAGATTATAGTAACATTTATTTTTAGATACTCGAATATAGGGCACACCTTAGATGTGATAATTTATAATTAAATAGACCAGTGCCAGGGGACAGTTTGTGTGACCAGTGCCAATGGAGTTCCTGACTCGTTCTTCTCCATTCGAAACTACACTTTGGATCGAGCGCCTAACTTCACTGACATACAGACAGACAGACAGACCTACGGAAAGTCAATTTTTGACGTTTCCAAAGTGCCTAATTAAGGAATAATTGAAATAAATGCTTTGACTTTGGTAGACCATAACTATTTTTTATAACATAGGGCGGCAAACGTGCATACTAATGGTAAGCAATCGATGTCACCCATGGATACGCGCAACACTAGAGGAATGACAAAATGCATTGCCAGCCTAGAACCTAACGGGTAACCGGGGCTCCGACTCGACGTGCAGGAGAAGGAACGGGGTGGTTTTTAGTCAGTAAGAGTCTGACACTCCCTCCCGCCTCACCCAGGCGGGAGCAGTCATTCGATGATTTTCCCCCCTTAAAAAAAAAACC